CTCTGTGTCTATTTTAATTTTGATATTTGATTCTCTGGTTTATTTGAAGTTTTGCTGCTGAAGAATTTACTTAAAAAATCTTTGCAGTTTCGTGACAAACATGTTTCTTCTTTTACAGCGACACGTTTATTTTCACGTCTTAGAAAACGACAAAAACTCAAATCTAGTCAAGTTAAGACGACTTGAATTAAGAAAGTTTGATCATGATTTGAGTAAATTTCACTTGAGTAAAATTCTCTGCCAATGGATCAAGATTTTCTGTAGTTAAAATATGAAACTACATTTGGCTGCACTTAAAATAAGAAAAACTAAAATTATTAACATTTAAAATAAGAAACAAAATCTAAAGTTTCTCGAGTTAAGAGAAAAACAAACTTATTTCATTGGTCGATCATTTGACTTGTTGATTTTTACTTATTGAAATTTAATCAACTCAAATAAACGAATGTGTAAATGTTTTTTACACATTAAAAGTAAATGTTCTTAATAAAAATCATTTTAATTTACTTAAATATAGTTTTTTGCAGTGAAAGTCGTTGTTAAACTCCATGACGAGAAACAGGAAGCAGTGATAAACTCTTCTTTATTCACTCGACACTGAATTCACACACGACGCTGAGGAACAGAACTGCAAATAAAATAAATAAAATATCTAAATTAAAATAGTCACAGAGACAGTTTTTTGATTGGTGTTATTTAACTTAATTAACTTTCAATTAAATATCATAAATAGAGGTTGAAATCTGTTGTTTCGATCTCAATCTCAATTTCCAATATTTAATTTAAAGTTGAATTTTTAATTTTAATTTGGATATTTGATTCTCTCTGGTTTATTTGCTGCTCAACCATGGACCTAAAATAAAAACTATTTTTATTCTAGTTTGATGGAGTCGACTGAACAAAGGAGAGTTTCTCCTCGTTTCCTGTTTCTCGTCGCGGATCAACGACGATTTTCTAAGACGTGAAAATAAACACGTCACTGAAAAGAAACAAAACAAACAAAAACAAAACTGCAACGATTTTTCAGGTGAATCCTTCAGCAGCAGAACTATTACTATTACTATTACTATTACTATTACTATTACTACTAAATACACCAGAGAGAATAAAAAAAATTAAAACTGAAATAGTCATGATGTTTTTTGATTGGTTTTATTTGAAATAAACTTTAAATTAATTACTGTAATTAGAGGTCAAAATCTCTATTTTTTGTTTGACACTAAAACTGAAAAATGAAATAAACTGTTTTCCCTTTTTTTTGTTCTTAATTGAAATTCAAAAGAACAAATGTAACACAGACTAATCTTAAATACACTGATGTTAGTCGTGTTTTAGTGAAATGAGTCCGACCTGTCAGTCATGTTTAAAGAGTCATTTTTCGAGAGTCATTTTTTAAGAGAGTTCATTTTTGTTATCTTGGATGTTTGGTGGACAAAGCAGACGGGGCTGAAGTGCTGTGTTCTGTTTTATTAGAAACACGTACAGTACACTTTCGAAATAAAAGCAGAACTAACATGGATCAGATACAACAATATTCAAAGTCCCTTATGTCGTTCACAGAAAAAGTACAGAAAAATCCATCTGGAGAAATCACATTTTCAAGGACGATAAACCTGACTTCCTCCAGCCAAAGATCAGGCACCAAGAGCCCTCCTCACCAAGACCAGCCCAAGGAGCTACCACTACTACCACTATGGATACGACCGGACACGTCCACCGCCCTGGAACCCACACGCAACCCGACCCGGACTCAGAGAACCAGGGACCCACGGAACCGGCCCGGACTCAGAGAACCAAGAGCCAGGACCCACAGAACCAGGACCCAGAGAACCAGAGATCCAGAGACTCAGAAACCCAAGGACCCAAAGATCCAGAGACCTAGAGACCCAGAGAACCAGAGACTCAGAGATCTAGGGACCTAGGGACTTAGGGACCCAGAGAGCCAAGAACCAGGGACCCAAGGATCCAGAGAACCAGGAGCCAGAGACCCAAGGACTCACAGACCCAGGGACCCAGAGACCAGGGGACAAAGAGATCCAAAAATCCAAAGATCCAAAGACCCGAGGACTCAGACTCAAGGACCCAGAGAACCAGGACCCAGAGCTCCAGGGAACCAGAGCCCCTAGAGACCCAAAGACCCAGAGACCCAAAGATCCAGAGACCCAAAGATCCAGAGACCCAAAGATCCAGAGCCCAAAGACCCAGACTCCGGTTCTGACGATGTTGGTTTGAAATTTTGGAACTATTTTTATTCTGTGGTGGTAATAAAACTTCTTGGACGTACGCTGCTACTAAAGGTGCAGTACGCAACTTTTCTGGTGAAGGGTCTGTCACCTCCTTGTCTCCATGGAGACAAGGAGAATGTTCCACAGTGTGACTTTAAACAGCTCTGCCTTACATTTTAATCATCGGCAGTTTTATAGCTTGAAAAAATATATTTTTTTTTTTTTTTTTAACTGTATTACGTCTCCACAGATCTGACCTGTAACTTGGTCTGGTTTGGTTTCCGTGGAAATAGAAAAGTATAAAACCAGATTGTGAAACTTTCCAGACAAAACATCATCATCTCCATGGAGAAAAGTTACACAGTGCATCTTTAACAGCAGAAATACAACTTCTTCTTGGATGTAAACCACCATTAAACTCCACATAAGTTTTTACAATTTATTTATTTTTAATAATTGTTCTATTTATTTTGATTTAAGGAGCAATGTGTAACTTTTCTGATACTTGTTGCCATGGAGATGTTGTTGCTTTGTCTGCAGGATTCCACAATAGAACATTAAGTTTAAAGAGGATGTGACACTAAATCAATGTTTTTTTTTCTAAACTCTTTATTAGAGTTGTTAAATATTGAAATATCGATATATCGTATCATTTAATGTGCTGATAAAGTATCGATATCGTGGGTTGAGTATTTTTAGATATATTTTAATAAATTATTTTGTTCCAGCTACAGTTTTGTTGTTTGTTCAGAGGAAGAAAACTCGTTTATGCGACACATTTGACATTTTCGCTGTTTTGTTGAGTAAAATGTTTGTGTTTTTAGATTTTTAGTGTCACAGAAATAATTTAGTCTTTATTTTTCACTGAATTGATTTAAAATATATCGTATCGAATCGTATCGAATCGTAAGTTCACTGTATCGACGTTTGTATCGGATCAGCAACTTGTTAATGATCCTCAGCTCAAATGTTCATGGAGTTTTAATCAGATTATTTACAGTTTCTTGTCATTTTTCACATTTTTAGGGCACACTAACATGTCAAGTACTACATGACATCACGCAGCACTGCCCTGATCGCAGACAGGTGCTTCTGATGCAAACACCTGTCTGCGGGGGCGGAGTTTCCACCAATCACATCGTTCCTTACACCTCCAGGCCCCGCCCACTTTAGCAGCTCTGTTCGAAACGTTGTTATGGGCGGAGTTTCGGTGTTTTTGCGCTCTCAGGAAGTGCCCGTTAGCATGCTAGTTGCCGTGGTGAGCAATGAGGACGCTCTGAACGCGGAAGATAAGACTTGAGGAAGAACGTTGGACCACTGAGAACGATTAACAATGAACTATTTCTGCGTTTCACATTTTTAAGATGGGGAAAAATCAGGTACAAAACTTTTAAAACAACACTGCGGAACATTTCAGGCAAAGCTAGAACATCTCAGTCACCAGAAAATGTACTTTTGAATCAGTTACAGCATGAAATGTTAACGAGGTTTCTGAAATGAGAGCTGCTTTGTCATTATTAGTCTGAAATGTAAGGACAATTGAAAGGTTTTTTGTTTTTTTTTTCCTTTTTTTCTTTATAATATTTTAAAAAATCCATCCAAACACCACGATTGTTACGTCATTATTGTGTTTTAGTTTAATACTTTAAGCGTCCCGTTCCTGTTAAGTCCGGTGTGGTTTGCGGTTCCAGAGCGGTTTCTGTCTGAGGGGGCGGAGCTCAGGCCCCGCCCCTGTGACCTACACACATGCACACTACAGAACGGCCACGCCCCCCGACCCTCGCCGCTCACCGGAGCGCGGGGCGACGGCGAGGGGCGTGGGCCGGCAAATACAGTTATGAAATGTTGGGAGTGACCCTTTGGAACCAGGGCCCCAGGTGCGTCTGCGGGAGGGGGCTGAGGGGGGCTGGGGCACCATCAGCACGACCGATGCCGATGAGAAAGATAAAAAATGAGGCACAAAAATCGATGCTCTGACAAAAAATACCAAAATTCTAAAAATAGATTTCTGCGATAGTCCCTCCTGCAGCTGAATGAAAAGCCTCTACCATATGATTTTAACTCTTTTCTAAATAAAAAATGTCATTATCTTGGTACTTCATAGAAACTGATTTGCTCCTTATTAGAAATATATTAACTCGTCATTTCAATTAAAAAACAAATATCATAAATATGTTGCTAAATTTTGTACTTCTCATAAATAATATCCAGATACTATTTCCTGCTTTTATCAAACAATAGCCATGTTAGCAAAATAGCTCTGAGCACTAGACTGTGACACTGTGACTAAGTGTTGGTGGAAGAACGCAGGGGCTCGGGGGGTGCACCAGGGGGGTGCACCGGGGGGTGCACTGTGGGTGCACCGGGGGGGTGCACCAGGGGGTGCACTGTGGGTGCACCGGGGGGTGCACCGGGGGGGTGCACCGGGGGGGTGCACCGGGGGGGTGCACTGGCGTTACATTCAGCTCATGGTCTGGGGTCACATCGCTTCAGTGCGTCAGGACTCAAGGCAAATACTGGAGCGACACACAACTCCGACCCCTCAGCTTCAGCTTCACTACAACAACAACTCGTAGCATAGAAGTATATGATATAGTCTAATATGGACCCCTCCCTCTCCTGACTCCTAACCCCCCCACACCCATCCACCCCTCCCACTCTGACTCCTCCCACTCTCCTGACTCCTCCCACTCTCTCCTAACTCCTCCCTCTCTCTCCTGACTCCTCCCTCTCTCTCCTGACTCCTCCTCCTCCTCGTTTAGCTCCTCCCTCTCCTCGTCCCTCCCCCCGTTCCCTTACAGTATTGAAGTTTACTTAAACGTAGTAAATGTGCATCATGGAGCAGACGAGGCGCCTGCTGCTGATGCGGCGGCGGCGCGAGCGGTGGATTATGGTTGAAGCTAAGTGCTAAGCATATTGCTTGTGTCCACATTTACAGGGGCTCATCACTAACTAAGTCTTTCTGCGGATATAGAAGCTTCTGTGTGATTTTGTCAAAGATTCAGAGGGATTCGACTGTGTGTGTATAAAATACACCGGCTCCTGACGCGGCAGGAGATCCTCATGTGCATCTCGCCGCGGCTCTCAGTCCGACGGCGTCCGTTTGGTTTCAGACTAAAATGGGAATAAGGTGCTTCACTTTCGACTCTGGAAAAATAAACATTGATTTTGTTCAGTCTTTTCCAATTTCTGCGGTTCAGACTTTCACATTCTTTAGTTTATCAAAAGGGTATCTCAGGGCAACTCGAGAAGGCCAAAGATGCTACTGGAAACCAGTCGTCAACAGACACTGGCTCCATTCAACAAACACTATGGCAGGAAAGAAATGTACTAAAGTATTAAAGTACACGGGCTGCACCTGAACACGTGCAAATTTTACTGGAGCAGACCGAGGGGCACAGCTGAGACATAAGCACCGGCCCCTGGAGACAGGACACCGCTCACTCCTCACTGTCCGGTACTGAGGGCCCCCGAGGCCCCAGTGACCTCTGCTCCAGGGGCCGGGGCGTGGCTGTGTCTCGTGCGCTCGGACTCGGTCTGAGCACACAGATCGTGTGCTGAAGTGCTTTCAGAGCTGTGTAGTACCACACTGCTGCCACCAGGGGGAGCGTCTCTCTGGACGACTGCTCCTCCACCGCGTTTCTCTGTCCCAGCCCAGCACACACATCCTGTACCTGTTCTCCACTCTCCCTTTAGAGCCTGCAGAGTAAGGTGCTAGAAGATCCTCCCTCTCCTGTGGGCTGTGACTGTCTCTGCTTCTGCCTAAAAAATACTTCATTGATAAAAAACAAAACCATAAAACAAAAGAATAAAAGCTATGCTCATTAGAAAAGAAAACGTCTTATAAAATATATAGTTTATACTGTTTAAGAAACACAACCTTCTGTGGTTTGTAAAACAAAGTGTGTCTCCAAATCAGACATCATTTTGTAAACAAAAACCTTTATATACTGTACTAATAAAATATGAAGAGAAGAATAATAAGGTGGGTAAAGAAGAGGGCAGACTGTTAGGAGAATATCCGGATGGCCTGGGTCACCGTGCTGTGGCACACCGGGCACTCGGGCTGCTTGAGCTCACAGATGCGGATGGCACACTCCATACAGAACAGGTTGTGCCCGCAGGGCACCAGGGCGGCCGTCACTTTGCTCTCGAAGCAGGTCATACAGTCCCGCATGGAGGCCGGGGGGGAGTCGGGCAGAGGCAGGCGCCCGGGGAAGCCCTCCCCGCCCGAGGGCTCGCTGAGGGCGCGGCGCCCGGGGAAACCCTCTCCTCCGGAGGGCTCGCTGTGGGCGCGGCGGGCCTGGGCGTGCGTGGAGCCCGGGGGGGCCATGCCCGTGCTCTCGGGCAGGCTGGGGGACATTCTGGTGAGGGGCAGGGGCAGCCCCGCGAAGCTCTTGGAGCGCTGCTGCGTGTAGAAGGCCACCTGTTTGTAGTCCGAGTCCCAGCTGGAGCCGTCCGGCTCGAAGTAGGAGCAGGACTTGTCCCCGGAGCTGGAGAAGCTGTTCTTCTGGAACACGGCGTCGCCTCCGCCCACCACGGCCTCGGGGAAGTTCTGCCGGTAGCTGCTGAGGGGCTTGCGCTGCGAGCCCTGGACCCCCCACACTTGTTGCAGGCGGCTCTCCAGACCCCCTCCGCTGCTGGCCGGGCTCCCCCCGGACGAGCCCAGGCAGTCGTTCTCGTTGTTGTGGTCGTGGAGGCCTCCCGTCCTGAAGGCGATGTGAGCTTCGATCTCCTCGCGGGCGCGCTCCGCGTTGCTAGGCGACCCGGTGATCTCGAAGACGGGGTCCCTGTCGCGGCTCGGCGTGACGATGTAGGTGCAGGTCTGCTGCTGGATGCGTTTGATGGTGGAGCCTTTGGGGCCCACCACCAGCCCCACCACCCTGTAGGGCACCCGCACCTGGATGGTGGTCTGGCCGGGCAGAGGGGTGGGCGGGGACCCGCTGAAGCTCAGGCCCAGTTTGTTCCGAGAGGCTCGGAGCATGGAGAAGTGCTCGGCCGCGGAGATGATCTCACGACGGGCCAGAGCCACGTCCTCCTTACGCCCCGTGATCAGGAACACCGGCTCCTCCCCGCGAACCGGAGTCTTTATGTACGTGTTGGTCTTGGCCCGCAGAGCTTTGATCTTGCAGCCTGGACACACAGAGAGACACACACACACACACACACACACACACACACACACACACACACACATAAGAAGAGGTCAACACAAGAAGCAAATGTGCACTGAATAAAACAGCGTAAAGTCTAGTACAGCAGAACATGTGGGGCGAGCAGGTGGGCGTGGCAGGAGTAGTGGGTTACTCACAGTGCCACAGACGCCAGGATGGGCACCTCGGACTGGGCACCTCGGGATGAGCCATACAAACAATAGGTGTATATTAAACCGGAGCTTTTACAGAGTCTAAACTTCTCCTTTGTGACACTTGTGAGTGGAGCTGAACATAAACGTGCCTCAGACGGAGCAGAGGAGCTGGGCACAGGCAGCTCAGGGTGGAGCCCAAAAGAGCTGGAGATGTGGAGGATGAGAGGAGAGACTGTGGAAGAAAGGACGAGGAGGAGAGGATGTGGAGGAGTGGAGGAGTGGAGGATGAGGAGGATGAGGATGAGGATGAGGAGGATGAGGATGCAGTCTGTAGGAGCCGAGCGCAGAGGTGGGTGTGTGCGGCCAAACAAAAACACGCGGCTCTGGGCTCCGGGCTCCGCGCGGGGGTCTGGGGGCTCGGGGCTCTGGGGCAGGGGGAGTGGAGTCTGTGGACACGCGGGACACGGGGACGGGGGACACACACGTCCACGCGGGCTGGATTAGACTCTCACAGCTCCACGTGCTACGCTACAAACGCCAGGCTTTGTGTCTGTCCTGACGCGCCCCTCCCTACGCCACCTCTCCTCACCTCAGCGAGCCTCCGTCCGCGTCCCGCACTAAGCGCACTCCCGTCCCCCCGTCCCCCGTAACCCACGGCCCCCCGTCCCCCACGGCCCACCGGAGCGGCTCCCGCGGCCGTGTGCGGCGCCACAACTACTTTACACCGACACTGGGAACAAAGAGCCACGCTGCTCTTTGTCCAGGAGCGCAGCTGCCAGAGGAGACAGACCCGCGGCGCACGCGCCTCCCCGGGCACATCTCGGGACACCCTGTTCACCCGAGCCGTCCCGGGCTCTCCCGGGCTCTCCCGGGCCACGCGGGGCCAGCGTCGGCCGGGCTCCGGTGCCCGATGTCTGGCGCGCTCAGACGACAAAGGAAAGGGGTGCCGTGTCTGCGCGTGCATCAATGGCGTGTCTGTGGAGGCTCCTCGCGCGACCGGGGTCCGCTCCAAACACAAAGAAACAGCGGGAAAGTGTCGCCCGCGCGCTCAGCCCCGCACCCCCGCGGACCCGAGGCTCCGGGAGCCCCTCGGTCTCGCGCAGGTGTGGAGCGCATTACCTTGTCTGCCCACGATCTCCGCCACATGCTCGGAGCTCGGCACCGGGACGCACTCCGTGATGTTGCAGCCTCGCGCTTTGGTCTCGGAGCCGGGCTCGTACAGCGCGCACAGTTTGTTCTTGGCGGACAGAGGAGAGTCTCCGCCGGCCTTGTGCTGGTTGTTGTTGTTGTTGTTGCTCCGGTCCTGGACTCCTGGGGGGACAGAGCTGTCCTCGCCTTCTCCCAGACCCAACAGAGACAACTGGCCCAGAGCGACTCTGAGGGCGCGGGAGTCCTCCTCGTCTTCGTCGGGCGCCACGAGGAGCCCCTCGCTCCCGAAGGCAGAGCCGGGCACGTCCCCGGCGTAGCCCCCATTTTTCTCCATGATCCCTGCTAGAAGCAGCAGGCTCGGCATGGCTAACAAAGAGTACAAGACAAAGACAGCAGAGACTGAGCTCAGCCTTGCGCCACCGCCTCCTCCCTCTTCTCACAACACTCCTAACTCCGCCCCTGCCCGCCCCCTCCGCGCACACTGAGGGCGGCAGACTGAGCGGCAGACTGAGGGCGGGCCGCCGCTGCTCCCAGTCTCCTCCGGAGCCCGAGAGCAGCCCGACGGCCCCGACGGCCCGACGCGCCGAGCCCCGGAGCCCCGGAGCCCCAGAGCCCGGAGCACGGGCGCGGGGGCGGCGGAGAGCGGCGCGGACTCGCTCCGCGGAGTTTGACGCGTCCGCGCGGGCGGATGCGGAGCGTCGCTGCGTCGCGAGCACATGGTGTTGTTCATCAATACCAACATGGCCACGGTCCTCACCGCGTGGACGGCAGCTGGTGCATGCGCTGTGCCAGTAGGATACGGCACGTGTTACCAGGTGCGGCCGCGCTGCCGCGCGCCGCCATGTTTGCGCGGCAGAGCACGCGGCGCGGTTCTGAACGGCCCATAGTGAACAAAGAGTCTGCTGCCGCGCGCGACACGAGCCAAACCACGCCCCGCGGCAACGCGGCAACAAAGAGCAGCAGAAACACCGCGGCAACGCACGCGCCAACGCACGCGCCCGACGTGCGCGCAACACAAACAAAAGCCTCAAATCTACACAAACTATACACACATATGTACACACACACATACACACACACCAGACACACACACAAACTATACACACACACACATACACACACACCAGATACACACACAAACTATACACACACACCAGACAGACACACACAGACAGACACATAAACTATACACATGCATATACACACACACACTCATACACAGACTATACACACATATGTACATACATACAGACACACACAAACTAGACACACATACATACATATACACAGACACACACACACATGCACATACACAAACTATACACATATGTATAAACACACACATACACCAGACACACACAAACACACAAACTACAGACACACACACACCAGACACACACACACACCAGTCTAAAACCCCACACCAGGCCCTCAGACTCAGGTCCTCACACAGACCTGGATTGGGCCAGAACCCACAGGTCCTAAAGATCCTCAGGTCCCCACAGACCCTGGTCCCTCAGGTCCCCACAGACCCTGGTCCCTCAGTCCCTCGAGTTCCTCAAAGCTCCACTTCTGCTTCAGTTTTCATGAAGCAGAGTTCTGTTGTCAGCAGCTCGGCTCAGGGAGGAGAGTCTCGTGTTTGGCACAGATGGAGCTGGTCTCAGTGGGACAGATGTGAGGGTCACAGAGCACCCACGGGTGCTCAGTGGAAAAGGTTGGAGCAGAGGCAGTGACACTTGTGCGTGTAATTCTGAGAGGCCTGATCATTATCACATTATTACAGTGTTGATATTTCAGTTAAAACAAAAACTGTAGGTTGAATTTTCACTCGTGACAAACACAAACTGCACCTGTGTGTTTGTGCTCATGAACCAGGAGTCGAACTCAAACTCACAGAGGGACAAAATTAAAACCTGGGACAAAATCGTGGACCAAACTAAATATTTACTGAACAATTTCAACAGCATCTGCAGGTTTTCTCTTCTTTCCAGATCTGTAATGTTAAACCTTTTCTTATTCAAATAAATGTTTAATAATAGTTTTGCTTAAACACTGAATCCAGAACAAACAGAAAATAAAATAACAACATTTTAAATAAATAAATGTCTCTATAGTCGATCTGTGTGTAGCAGCAGCTCTGATACATGTTTGATTTGATCTCACAGGACAAATATAATTATATCACGGGCCAAATTTGGCCCCTGGGCCTGAGTTTGACATGTCTGACGTGGACAAACAAAACCACAGGTGTAAAGTTTATGGCAGAGGAGGGAGAGAAATAAAGAAAAAATATCCAAGCAAGAGCAACGTTACTTCAGAATAAAATTATTCAGGTCCAAGTAATGATCTGAGAAATTACTACTCAAGTAAAGAGTAACGAAAAGAGTAACTGCAACATCTGATTTTTTATTTGACGTGAATGTAATTTGACAAAACATGAAATAAGTCACAGAATCTGGTGTTTTCATAAATGACATTCAGATTATTTCATCATCACATGAAGCTTTTGTGACTTTAGACTCACAGCGGGAAGAGGAAACACAACTTTTACTCGAGTAAGAGTACTGTTACTTCAATACAACTATTACTCAAGTAGGAGTAAAAGTACTCTGCTAGAAAAGTAAATATATCTGAGTTCTACCCACCTCTGCTCTGTCCTCGTCCCTCTGAGTGGAGCGATGCGCGCGGTGGCCTGCAGGGGGCAGTGCGTCCTCATTTTCGGAGGAGCGCTCCCATCACAGCCCGGTGCGCACGTGCGGGTCAAAGGTCAGCCTCTGCAGCTCCTCCGCAGACGCTCCGGAGCACAGACCGTGCACACATGTCGCCGCACACCGGAGGATCTGTCCACAGCCGCGCGCACAGCTCCGCGCTCCAACCCGAGGAAGAGCGCACGGAACCGGACACCAGAACCGAGCCACCGAGACCGAACCACCGACACCGAGCCTGCGCCGTGGACATCTGCAAGTCAGGTGCGTGGGGCTTTATTTAAAAATCTAATTTATGTTTTCAGCCTGAATTATGAACTAAATAATTGCCTAAAATTGCTAAAAACTGTAAAAATGCTGAGAGATTTACGAATTTACGCACAGAATCAGGCGCGTTTTTCTCTTACAAAAGTGAAGCCATGGGGGAAAATCTGCTCTTAAATCTGAAAACACGAGCGTGAAAAAGCCTAAAACTCGCGTGGAAAGTGTCACAGAAATGCGAGGTGCGTGCGCGTGCCTGTAGATGGCGCTGTTTGCTCGTGCGTAAAAGTCTGATCCGCTCAGACCGTCGCAAAAGATCTGATCATGTTTTACGCACAGAATCTTTTTTTCAGTTTGATTTTGTTCAGGATTAATGGTCTTGAAAACCAGGTCTAAACCAGGTCTAAACCAGGTCTAAACCAGGTCTAAACCAGGTCTAAATTTTGGCTGAACCAGGATTAAATCAGGATTAAATGAGGACTAAAGTAGGTCTAAATTGGGACTAACCCATGTGTAAACAAGATCCCACCCACGCACAGAATCTTTTTTTCTGTTTGATTTTGTTCAGGATTAATGGTCTTGAAAACCAGGACTAAACCAGGACTAAACCAGGACTAAACCAGGACTAAACCAGGACTAAACCAGGACTAAACCAGGACTAAACCAGGACTAAATCAGTTCTAAATAAGGACTAAACAAGATCCAAACCAGGACCAGGACTAAACCAGGCCTATACTATGTCTAAATTAGGACAACATCAGGACTAAACCAGGTCTAAACCAGGTCTAAACCAGGTCTAAACCAGGACTAAACCAGGACTAAACCAGGACTAAACCAGGACTAAATCAGTTCTAAATAAGGACTAAACAAGATCCAAACCAGGACCAGGACTAAACCAGGCCTATACTATGTCTAAATTAGGACAACATCAGGTCTAAACCAGGTCTAAACCAGGTCTAAACCAGGTCTAAACCAGGTCTAAACCAGGTCTAAACCAGGATTATACTAGGTCTAAATTAGGACAACATCAGGACTAAACCAGGACAAAATTTTGGCTAAACCAGGTCTATACTAGGTCTAAATCAAGATTAAATCAGTTCTAAACCAGGTCTAAACTCGGTCTAAACAGGCATTTTATAAAAGTAAAAAACAGAATAGACCAACATCTCCTGTAGATGAAGAAAACCAGGACATTTTCTCAGTTTTTTCAGTTTTTGTCAGTGTTTGTTTCACTGACAGAACCCAGAGGAAATCTTCATCCACATGTTTCCGTCACGTTACGTCAGTGTGAACAGACCCTGTGTGTGTGTGTGTGTCTGTGTGTGTCTGTGTGTGTCTGTGTGTGTCTGTGTGTGTGTGTGTGTCTGTGTGTGTGTGTGTGTGTGTGTGTGTGTGTGTGTGTGTGTATTGTTTTTATAGTTGTCTAATTGTTTTGTGTTATTTATTTCTTTAAATCAGAGACTGGAGAAGGAAAGTTTAGTTCTAATCTGGTGCCAAACTTCTCTTTTTTTATTATGAGTTTAATGTGTCTGTGCTCTGTCCCTTCAAATAACTAAACTAAACTAAACTAAACTAAACTAAACTAAACTAAACTAAACTAAACTGTACTGAACCAAACTAAACCTAAACACCTTTCACTCTCAGACACCAGGAAAACGGAGAAAATGTTCTGGTTTTCTTCATCTACATTCGATGTCGGTCTTTTCTGTCTTATTCTGCTTTTATAGAATAAATCAGTTCTAAACCAGGACTAAACTCGGTCTAAATATTCAGTCTTGATTTAGACCTAGTATAGTCCTGGTTTGGATCTTGTTTAGTTCTTATTTAGAACTGATTTAGTTTTGATTTAGACCTAGAATAGTCCTGGTCGAGTCCTGGTCGAGTCCTGGTCGAGTCCTGGTCGAGTCCTGGTCGAGTCCTGGTCGAGTCCTGGTCGAGTCCTGGTTTAGTCCTGGTTTAGTCCTATTTTAGTCCTGGTTTAGTCCTATTTTAGTCCTGGTTTGGATCTTGTTTAGTTCTTATTTAGAACTGATTTAGTCTTGATTTAGACCTAGAATAGTCCTGGTTGAGTCCGGGTTGAGTCCGGGTTGAGTCCGGGTTGAGTCCGGGTTGAGTCCGGGTTGAGTCCGGGTTGAGTCCGGGTTTAGTTCTGATGTAGTTTAATGTCTTTCTGCTCTGTCCCTTCAAATAAACACTGAACTAAACTGAACTAGAATTTTAAAGGCATTTCCTTTTTTATTTTTTAAAATTCTGCTTTGAGTTTGTCATAAATAGTAAAAAAAAATTGAAAGGAAATGATGCTGGTGAGTTTAAGTTCAGGGACTAAAAATGTAGATTTAAAAATGGGAGAGAAAAAAAAAGGAAGAAAAAGTGAGAAAAGGATTTTCCCTTATGATTTGGCCGTAATGTGTCAGTGTAAAACAGGAGAGTCAAACTCATTTTGTTCCGGGGGTCGAGTCCAACCGACTTTGATCCAAAGTGTCCGGATCAGAAAACTCATGTCATATAAACCCCAAAAATAACAATTTGTTCAAATATTTGGGCCGGATCTGGCCCCCGGGCCGTATGTTTGACACCTGTGGTGTAAAGAGTCTAGTGGTTTGTTTACGCTGCACCAACACGTCACTTTTGTTTAATTTAATCAAGTTTGTGTCGGTGTTTGTGGTCAGGGGGAATTTTTTTTTTTTTCTTTTTTTTTTGTATTTGTTGTGGGTGTTGCTTTGTTTTGTTTGATTGTTGTATTTTTTTATGTTATATTCTGTTGTCCTTAATAAAAAAAAATAAAAAAAGTTCCCACCTCTGGAAATTGACTTAAAAACTATGAAATAATTTGTCCATTGCAGCAAGATCATTTAACTTCTCAACTTCTCTTAAATTAAACGACGTCTAGACGAGAATAAAACATCTTAAAACTCATAATTATAACCTGATAAAGACGACGTTTACACTGAAATGAAACAAATCACCGTATCAGAAATGATCTGCGTCCAGACACGACGTTTCTGTGTCTAAGTTTTCTGTATCCACACAACTTTGAGAATATTTGTTTACATTTTACACAAACTAAACTTAAAACCACATGACTCATTTACATAAACGAGTGTGTGATAAAAACAGTTCTGTCCTTGTGTCGCTGATGTGGTTCAGTTTCTGTTGGACTAAAGGACACGACTCAGGCCCCGTTTACACACACCAGAGTTTTTAAAAATTGAGACATTTCCCTTCGTTTGTTCCCGTCTTTTACAGGCAGACGGCAGATTCGTCTCTGAAAACAAATCTTTCTAAAAACTCCGGCTCGAGTGGAGATTGTGGAAAACTCCGGCTTCACGTTTGTGTGTAAACTGAGATAAACAGAGTTTTAGGAGCTGAAAGTGCGACAGACGTTTACCTGTTGCTCTGATGATGACAGTGTGAGACATACAGAAGGAACAGGGTCCGACATTAACCCATCACACCCCCAAAAAGATTCAAAAGGAACATTTTGAGGGGCTAAAATGGAGTTAAATAGATAAAGTCCAGACGCCGTCGCACACGGACCTGGACAGGGTCAGACTGATGTTTCCAACGGGCAAAGTTCTTCTCAGGTGGAGGTGGACAAACCCCCACTGCAGCTCATCTGTGTCTTCATGTGTTTCACTCACACAGATGATGTTTCAGATCATGAGCAGATGAACCAGGTCAGTGATTTTGACACTTCCTTAACAGATCTGTGGAGAGGCGAGCCGCTCACTGATGCACATTTTTCAAGGTATTTGTTAGTAATATTTACAACTGTAATGAAATAAATGCTGCAGGTTTGAATCTGACCCAGAGGCTCGTGATGTTCTGACGCTGTGAGGACGAACAGAACAGAAGGAGGGAAATATTCATTTATCAAAACTCGACTGTGTAAATGTAGCTTCAGTGGAATATGAGTGTTCTCCCTGTGACAGAGGGGTGTTCTCTCTGTGTCAGAGGGGTGTTCTCTCTGTGACAGAGGGGTGTTCTCTCTCTGTGACAGAGGGGTGTTCTCTCTGTGTGACAGAGAGGGGTGTTCTCTCTGTGACAGAGGGTGTTCTCTCTGTGTGTCAGAGGGGTGTGTTCTCTCTGTGTCAGAGGGGTCAGAGGGGTGTTCTCTCTGTGACAGAGGGGTGTTCTCTCTGTGTGTCAGAGGGGTGTTTCTCTCTGTGTCAGAGGGGTGTTCTCTCTCTGTGTCAGAGGGTGTGTTCTCTCTCTGTGACAGAGGGGTGTTCTCTCTCTGTGACAGAGGGGTGTTCTCTCTGTGTGTCAGAGGGGTGTTCTCTCTGTGTGACAGAGGGGTGTTCTCTCTGTGTGACAGAGGGGTGTTCTCTCTGTGTGTCAGAGGGGTGTTCTCTCTCTGTGTCAGAGGGGTGTTCTCTCTGTGTCAGAGGGGTGTTCTCTCTGTGTGACAGAGGGGTGTTCTCTCTGTGTGTCAGAGGGGTGTTCTCTCTGTGACAGAGGGGTGTTCTCTCTGTGACAGAGGGGTGTTCTCTCTGTGTGACAGAGGGGTGTGTGTCAGAGGGGTGTTCTCTCTGTGTCAGAGGGGTGTTCTCTCTGTGACAGAGGGGTGTTCTCTCTGTGTGTCAGAGGGGTGTTCTCTCTGTGTGTGACAGAGGGGTGTTTCTCTCTGTGTGTGACAGAGGGGTGTTTCTCTCAGAGGGGTGTTCTCTCTGTGTCAGAGGGGTGTTCTCTCTGTGTGTCAGAGGGGTGTTCTCTCTCTGTGTCAGAGGGGTGTTCTCTCTGTGGTGTGTCAGAGGGGTGTTCTCTCTGTGTGTCAGAGGGGTGTTCTCTCTGTGTGTCAGAGGGGTGTTCTCTCTGTGTGTCAGAGGGGTGTTCTCTCTGTGTGTCAGAGGGGTGTTCTCTCTGTGTGTCAGAGGGGTGTTCTCTCTGTCTCTCTGTGTCAGAGGGGTGTTTCTCTCTGTGTGACAGAGGGGCTCTCTGGTGTGTTTCTCTCTGTGTGTGACAGAGGGGTGTTCTCTCTGTGTGACAGAGGGGTGTTCTCT